AACAGTCTAATTTCCCTTTTAATCTTATTTCAAAGGATCTTTTTTTTTTTTTTTCCTCTTCGCGTATCAGTGGGATAGTAATTCCTTTTACCATCTCACACGTAATATATGAGTCTAAACTTCTTTATTATAATTTGTGGGAACTGACATAGCTTCGACTTTCTTGTGAAGCTCAATTAATCTTGGTTTGTCTACCATATTCATATTCTCCATAACTCGTGCAGAAAATAGGGGTTGATTCATACACCTTACCCAGGTTATTAATGTTTTGCATTTATTCCTATCAAGGAGGGGGGTAAACAAATGGTTTGTTCCCTTCAAATCTGATTCTAAGTTCAATTTTCTTGTAACAACTCCAATGATGGAGGAGGTGATTCTAGTAAATCACGTGTTTCAGAATGTTCATATCTATAAAAGTACAATTCAATACCAACGGCTGGTTTGGATTACTTTCACTGAAGGGCTTTTATTTAAGTGGTCGACACTCTGGTTGATGTATATGCAAATTGTTTAATACATTATGCACAATTTTTGGACGTGCAATTTTCTTACGTTCCCTTCATTCTTCATCAATTACTATGAAGTGGGCCTTTTTATTTTTCCTTCCGAACAGATAGACACGTAAATATCTTCTTGTGCACATTTTGTAGGCTATTCTGTCAGTACCCTCACACAGGATAACCTCACCTTGATCCCCGATGTCCCTGCCACAGTGGCGGCCATCAAGTCCCCAAGCTCCAACATCACCTACGACGAGAGCAACCACGAGAGGTACCCGCCCGGCGACCCGAGCAAGCGCGCGTTCGCCTACTTCATCCTCACCGGCGGCCGGTTCGTGTACGCCTCATTGGCCCGCCTCCTTGTTCTCAAGTTTGTCCTCAGCATGTCCGCCAGCAAGGATGTCCTTGCTCTCGCCTCCCTTGAGGTGGACCTGTCCAGCATCGAGCCCGGGAGCACCGTAACAGTTAAGTGGCGCGGGAAGCCGGTTTTTATCCGCCGCCGCACGGAGGATGACATCCAGCTGGCAAACAGTGTTGACTTGGCGTCCCTGCGGGACCCACAAGAGGATGCAGTTCGGGTCAAGAATCCCGAGTGGCTTGTGGTGGTTGGGGTTTGTACTCACTTGGGGTGTATTCCTCTGCCCAATGCAGGTGATTTTGGGGGTTGGTTTTGCCCGTGCCACGGTTCACACTATGATATCTCGGGAAGGATTCGAAAGGGGCCGGCCCCTTTTAACTTGGAGGTGCCTACTTACAGTTTCTTGGATGAGAATAAGCTGTTGATTGGATGAGGGAGTAAAAGGGAGTTTGATATATGGTTTGGTTGGGTCTTGGAGGTGAAGAGAAAAGCCGGAAAATACTTTGATATTGTTGTCATTTTGTAATTTGTAGTTTTCTCGTCTGAGTGAGAGTTTCGAGTTTTTCTGTTCTGCTTCGGTTTTGCTGGGTCCAGGATTCTGGAGGGACCCTCACCCCAGCTGTTTTGAATAATTCTGGCTGAACTTTTGGTTTGTTTTAGAATGGTTTTGATGATTTACAACATTTATGAATAAATTTTATTGATACATTTGCTGGGGGGCATTTTCTTGATCTGTCCTCTTCTTTTTCATTAGGTACGAATCACATTTTGACAGTAGCTTTACTCTTTTTATGTGAAAAATATAGTAGATACAAATATCAATGTGAAAATAATCCTTTCCTTAGGAGATCTAAAAGGGAAGTTCCGGAGTCTTGCATCTTTAGCTTCGAGGAACCTTTACTTGTTAACTCTTGCGAGAAAAGCTTCGACTCTTCATTCACGATCACGTCCTCAATCTGATCTCCCTCTTTTCCTCCCACAGCAAATTTTCCCTTCTGCAGAATCTCACTATTTTGGTCCCAAACTTCACTTTTGCACACTCTCATATCCTTTTTGTTTTGCTTATTGTGATTCATAATCATACTAATGCACACTCTCATTTCCTTAACATGTCCGTGCCTATTTTCTTCAAACATTTACTCCTTAGCGACAAAAGCCGGGTTTGTTACCTTGGGACAATCAGCACTACTTTTTCGGCTCCTTTTTAATGTACTCGTCGTAGATATTGGATGATGGGCTCGGAGTTGATGATGATGGTGCGACCCTTGATTCTTCTACAAGGATAAAAATAATTATGATATTCGCCATAGTGAATAAAGCATTTGGCGTCAAGAGGGACGATGACGAAATTATAGATGCTAATATTAGCCATAAAGCATAAAAGCTTTTTGTGGAGGGGAACAAAAATTGATAGGAAAAAATGAAGACGAAAATTGATAGGAAAAAATGAAGCAAGTAATAAAATGAATTTTTAATAAAAATTCAAAATTCATTCAATATTTACTCAGACACTCAGTCAACTTTATTCAAAATTAACTCAATTTGATCATTAAATCCAATTACAATCATTTTTATTTATATCCAATCACATATTTAGTGCCTCAACAATCTATATTCACTAGTACGAGATTACGGATGCATAGATATAAATAAATTATTATAAACTATATATTTCCATATAATATTAAAATTAAAAGTTAGATTGTCTCACATTTTTAAATTGTGATCATAGTAAAACTAAACAGTATAAAATATTTGATCACATATGAATCACTGTACTGATTGATAAAATGTAATGAATAACGTATTTTATTTTTTAATGTTTAATTTTGAGGGATCATATCTAATTAATATAACTTCCATAATAATTAATGTTTGATCGCATCGTAACCAGACAAAATTCAAATTTTATAAAGTTTTTCCTCAACAAACTAATAGTAGCGGCAAGTAAGGGTATATGCCACCAAAAGTAAGAATTATATTGTGACAATTTCGCACTAATTGAACTAATCTAATAAAGCAATAAAATTTTTCCTCAACAAACCTCTTGCCGCAACGCCTATCTCGCACGCTAAGATCGAGGTCGTTGGCCTGCAGCGCTTAGCCTCGAGAGTCCGTCGGCCCGTCGGAGCTTATGTTCCCGTGCTCATCCAGCTCTGCTCCAGGGAGATGTTGCTCGCCCGGCTGCGCGCAGCCTTGGGTGCTCCCGCTTGGTCCCTGTTTTTGAGCCCTCTGATTTGGGTTGCCGGAGTTTTCTTGGCGGCTTCACCTCCCCGCTCCCTAGCTCCCGGGCATTGTAGATTTTCGGATTCCAAATTTGGACCAATAATTTCCTTTTTGTCAGATTTGTTTCGGCAGTTTAAGTTTGGTCGCAATTTCTGGGTCTGAGTTTCCAGTTTGCTGCCTTGCAGTGTGTGACTCGTGTGCCGGTTCGGATGGTCGTACAGTTTGCTTGTAAGGTGTAGGTGAGATCTTAGTCTATTTGTTCATTAGATGTGCGTCGTCGTTGCGTTCTTTTTTTATTTTTTTCGTTTCGTTAGTCCAACTACGTCTGACTTCAGTCTACTTGTTTTGGTCTGCGGTTGATTGTGTCCCCTTTGTGGAGTTTTTACTCCCTCTTCCTTTCAAACCGGTTGGTTCAGACTTTATTCTGATTGCAATGGACACATCAGTTGACATTTTGGTCGTATTCTTTTGAATTTTTAGTTATTAATATATTCTATCATTAAAAAAAAAAA